AGTGCTGGGGCAGGGGATGGGACAGCCCAGTGGTGGTACTGGGGCAGGTGGAAGCAGCCGCGGTGTTGCCATGGTGATGCCCCGAGGGATGCTCCGGTGCCTCGGGGGATCCTGCTGCCCCAGGCTGGAGCCCTGCCCTGAGCTCCTCCCGAGCCGTGTTTGTCCCTCCAGCCCTTAGCCACCACCAACTCTGTCCTCCTGCTCCCTTGCCTTGGTGGCAGGTGACAATCCTGATGTGCAGTTTGGGTCCAAACCATGGTCAGAGCAGCGCTAGGAAATTGCATTCCCTGCCCTGTGCAGAATGCAGAGATCTGTGGAAGTTATGTGTTGTTAACACTGAATATAAACCGGGATCAAAACAGCATGGGTTTGTCTTAGATGGAATAACCTGTTAAATTAGTTGGTTGTGGTCCACCAGCCATGGGGTGGTTGAAAGCATAAGCTGCTTTGTCTAGGAATGTACACTGAATTTTTTAGATGGGGTATAAAACTTCACTGTCACAGGTGGTTACAAACAGAAAATAATACATAGCAAGTGTTCTCTAACAATCACATTATCAAGTTACCAGGGCTATAGCATATGATACATTTGCATGATATTCAGCATTGTTTAATCAAAAGTTACTCCTCTCAGTTCTGCCTGTTAAGTCTTTGTTTTTGTTTCCCTTACCAGTGACTGTGTTCTTAAGCACTTTGACTCCAAAATTCTACTTTGCCCTTACGGTGACTTCGTCCTTTATATCTGGGCTGATATTTGTAAGTAGTTCACTCTCATTGTTTTGAACAGCTTTGGCACCTCTCAGATGATTTTGTTAGGGGTGAATGGAGTGAGTGTCAGACTCTAGAGGGTGCCTTTGTGCTGGGAAGAAACTGGTTTAGTGTCTTCTCTGGTGCATGATACTTACTCCTTTGCTGTGTATGTCAGGGTGAGTGTGAGGAAGTAACTTGTATAGAATCACAGACTGGTGTGGGTTAGAAGAGACCTCAAAACTCATCTCATCTCATTTTGTGCGTTATCCTTTTAGATTATTTTTGTGGAATTAAAAAACAACACCTAGAATCCTAGAATCAGCTGGCTTGGAAAAGACCTCCAAGATCATCGAGTCCAACCCTACCGTGGTCACTAGCCCATAGTACTAAGTGCCACATCCAGTCTCAGCTTGAAAACCTCCAGGGATGGTGAATCCACCACCTCCCTGGGCAGCACATTCCAATGCCTGAGCACTCTCTCCAGAAAAAATCTCTTCCTAATCTCCAACCTAACACTCCCCTGGCAGAGCTTGAGTCTGTGCCCTCTTGTCCTGCTGCTGGTTGCCTGGGAGAAGAGACCAACCCCCACCTGACTCCAACCTCCTGTCAGGGAGTTGCAGAGGGTGAGAAGGTCTCCCCTGAGCCTCCTCTTCTCCAGGCTTGAGTAGTACAAAGACTTCTGTCTTGAGTGCTCCAAATTTGGTACTACATGATGGGTTGGAGCTTGAGATCTCACCAGATAAAGATATAAAGTTTCTTACTTCCGTTCCCAGTTTCCCTATACAGGCACTACTGAAAAGGTTTCTGAGTTACCCTAATGACCTGGGGAGGGAGGAACATGCTTGACTAAATCTCTGCTGGTTGTTTTCAGTCTCTTTCATGTTCTGTGAATGATCCTGCAAGACAAGACAGGCCAAGGCAGATCATCAGTGTTACTTTGCATGAAGATAACATTCATCTCTAGTCATTTGCAAGGGGCTGTACCTGCTTTGAGCACTCTTTGTCTCATGTTTGCTGCAAGGATGTCACCTAAGGAAGCTTTTGGTGCTTTTTTTCTCCTGTGACAGGTGTTTGAGTGGTGGCACTTCCGAAAATATGGCACATCCTTCATCGAGCAGGTGTCTGTGAGCCATCTGAGGCCCCTCATTGGGGGTGCAGAGAACAGCCCCCCAGCCCCAGCAGCTTTCTCAGCAGGGGAGAATGAGAGCAGCAGGCAGAACATGCCAGGTGATTCCTCTTGTGTCCCAGCAGCTTTCCTTAAGCTTCAGGGTGGCTGCTTCACCTGAAGTGGCTTTTAATGGCTTTGAGTCTGCATTGGTGCTTGTAAAGAATGAAGAAAACTTACATCTTACAGTATGTCTTATTGACAACAGCAAAAATATACTACATAATATGTATTTGATCTAAACAATTCATTATTAAATGTCAGATTTAGGATCTATCTTACACATTCAGCTAGAACTGTTTCAGTAACATTAGTTCTTTGCTATTCTGATGTACACAAGGCAAACATTGCATGAGTGTACATGGCAGTGTTTAATTTTCCACTTTGTGCTTTTGTACCTCAGCAATGTTGGGGAGCAAAATTATTCACGAGATAGCAGAAGTTTGTGCAGATTATATGACTGTGCTCAAATTGGATAGCAATAAAATTCAAGCAGCTTTAGAAAGCAAAACTGCTTTTGCATTGCTCTGCTTTAAAGTCAAGGTAATATTTCTGTGCTCTTAATTCAAGAAGTCTTTTTTTTCATTCTCCAGAGTGCAAAGTGTGGCGAAATCCTCTCAATCTTTTCCGAGGGGCAGAGTATAGCAGGTATTAATTGTCTTACTTTCCATTGCATGTTTTTGTAATTAATTGGGGGCATATACACATGACTTGTTCACAGAGTTTGCACTGGTAATGTCAGGAGACAGCTGGAGACCTGCAAGATTATGGGGGTGATTGATGCCAATCCTGTGTTTAAAAGGCATCCAGCCAAGCTTTGGCAGTGTCAGTGGGAAGAATGCAAATATTACTGTACCTTCATTTTTTTTGAGAGTTGAAGTGGGAGAAAAACTTGATTCAGAGGTTGAGACAGAGATTCTGAATCCAAATTCTCTTTTATTAAGCTGGTATGGTTATATTGTAAGTCTTCTTGTGTTATTTCATGGGAAAAGCTGTTTTTTAGGAAGTCAGTTCCCAAATTGCTTAGAACTTTATAACCCATACAGAGTATGGAACAGTAGTAGCTGTAGCTTGGAATCATGGAATCCCAGACTGGTTTGGGTTGAAAGGGACCTTAAAGATCTTCCAGTCCCACCCTGGGCAGGGACATCTTCCACCAGCCCAGGTTGCTCCAAGCCCCATCCAACCTGGCCTGGAGCACTTCCAAATTCTCATTAGTAGTTTCAGTCTTCTATGAATACAGATTTTCTGCACTGGGCACATCAGATATCCCCTTGGTATCAGCATTGCTAATTACCATTGCTCTTACAGAAATGTCTCCTGTTTTAGGTACATGTGGGTGACTGGGAAGGAGCCTCTTACTTACTACGACATGAATTTGTCTGCTCAAGATCATCAGAACTTTTTCACCTGTGACACAGATTCCCTTCGACCTTCAGATACAGGTACCAGTGTCATAGCAAGAATAAACTCTGTGATAACAGAGTTTAGGGGTTGGAATGGATTTTACAGATCATCCAGTCCCACCCCTTGCAATGGGCAGGGACACCTTCCACTAGCCCAGGCTGCTCCAAGCCCCATCCAGCCTGGCCTTGAAATTCAGTGTTTAGTGAAAAGAAATCTTTTTACCTTGTCCATTCTCTATAACTTGAAGGCTGTGACATATTTTCACATCTCACACACGTCAAATAATTAACACATCACAAACCTGAGTTATATTCCCAACAGCCAAAACATGCTCTGATTTAAATCTTAGTAACAAATAGTGCAGTCTCCAGACATTTTTTTCCCCTTGTGTTCCACATCTTCAGTGCAGAAAATGTTCTTTACCTGGTTATTGTCAGTCTGGGTGTGAGTTATTGTCCATTTGTCACGTCTCGGAAGTGTTCCCTGTCAGCTGCCTGTGACGTGCTTGATGTGAGTGATGTGTTTTGATTTCACAGAAGGGAGTGGATTGTCTGGCTTGCTAAGCCAAGACTAATATTTTGTTTCCAAAAGAAAACTCAAACATTTTTCCATGTTACTCTTGCTGGACAGCAGGAGGTTTTGTTCCAAAAGAAACATATATAGATTCTTCAGTTTTCTTATCGTCCTTGAGATAGGCCAGATATAGAACTCCAGGAGTGTAAAGGGTTTGGAGTTCTTTCAGGATTGGGTTTTTGGTGTGAAAGTTATTAGTTGTGCAGAGAAAATGGTAGCTCTGAGAGGTGTTTTCATTTTGCTAGAAGTTGGTTTGAGTTTGTTTTCCATTTTTCCCAAATAAACATAGTGGTTCGAGTCATAAATTTAGAGTTATTGCAGTGAAATAAGTTTGATTGCATGTAGTAATTCCAGTGAGCCTTTTGAATAGATTTCACCCTATTTGTTTCCTAACACACTTTCTAAGAAGGTGATAAGTCATTATAGTGTATCTTGAATTGGCTTTGCTGTTTGATGCCACTCAAACCTGCTTTGTAAATTGAAACCCAAATTGTTTAACCCTTTATGATCTGACAGTTGTCTAAATAGCATCATAGAATAGAATCCCAGAATGGTTTGGGGTTGGAAGAACCTTAAAGCTGATCCTATCCCACCCCCTTCCATGGGCAGGGACACCTTCTACCAGCTCAGGTTGCTCTAAGTCCCATCCAACCTGGCCTTGAACAATTCCAGGAATGGAGCAGCCACAGGTGCTCTGGGCAGCTTAATATTTAATTCCAAAACTCTACCTGTGCAAGACACAGCTCACTCCATCACTGTTTGCTTTGAAGTTGTGTTTGAAAGCTGAAATTACAGTTCTGTGCAGGTCTGTGCAAGAACCTGTGTTTAACAATTGCTCCTGCCAAGCTTTCAACAAGCCTTGGGAAATGCTTCCAAAAATCTGTAGCAATTTAGAAATTGTACATCTGCCTGGTTATGTAAGCTGTCTGTGTGCTCTGTGGAGGAGTTCTGAAATGGGTCACTGATGAATCTTCCTGGTACTGTTGCTTTCTTAAAGTGAATTTGGGGTGTAGTGAGACTTTGCAAGGGTTTTGCTGCTTGTGGGAGAAACAGGCTGGAATTGAAGCAGTTGTTTACTCCTCTTTGTAACAATCATGGAGCAAACTGGAAGTGGATGTTAATCAGAGCTGACTCTGAGCTGCCAGTGTTGCTCCCAGGTGTTCCACGGGTGTCTCTGTCCCTCACCAGCCTTTCCGTGTTGTTCCAACAGTTATGCAGAAAGCATGGAGAGAGAGGAACCCTCAAGCTCGGATTAAAGCAGCATATCAAGCTCTGGAGTTGAACAATGAGTAAGTTTATAAGTTCAGTTGCTGTGTTTCTAGTGTGAAAGGTTAAGTGGAGTCATCCTGAGCACACTGTCAGTTTGTTTGTCTAATAATTCACTTTTAGCAAGTTCTCAGTGGCCCAAGGACAACTTCGGGGACTGAGGATTGCACAGGGAGGTGTCAGTTGCACTGAGGTATTGAACTGTTCTATCAAAAATAGCTTTTTTGCTCCTTTTTCTTTGGGAAATACTTATTGGAAATCTTTATCAGTAGCAATAACAAATGAGAAATCCTACTCAGATTGGAACAGTCTGAATTGGGTGTGTTTCAGGGATGGCATTGTGGGTTGGAGTTCACAGATGCTACTCCTGTAAGGGATTAAAAAATACTCCTATAACACAAACCAAAGAATTTCACTCACTACTGTGATCTTATTGTGTTGCCTTGGTTTTGTGTAAAATGTTTCAAAACCTCTTGGTTTTGAAAAGCAGAGCAAAGACAAAAACCTTTCAGGATAATTGCAGTTTTTACTATTTCAAGGGAGATGACTTGCTGTTACAATTCTTTCTTTTGTTATCTCTCCAAAGATGTTTTCTGCAAGATGGAAAAGGTTTTACTGACACACCCTTTGAACTCAAGTCAATATTTTGACATTTGAATGTTGTCAGTGCTTTGATCTTCAACAGAAGTGAAACGTGCCCATTTCTAATGCTTCTAACACTTACTAAAAATCCTACACTTCATCCCTCAGAATAATTAGGAGGGTTTTTTTGTTTCAGTTGTGCCACTGCATATGTCCTGCTGGCCGAGGAAGAAGCAACAACTATTGTGGATGCTGAGAAGTATTTCAAGCAGGCCCTGAAGGCAGGAGAAATGATTTACAGAAAGTCTCAGAACTGCCATTCCCAGAGCCCCCAGCACGAAGCACAGCTGAGTAAGGACTTTGAACCACGTAAACTCTTGGGTTTGTTTGAGCAGAAATGTAAAGCTGAAGTAAAAAAATGGGAAGAGGTAAGGGTTGAAACTGATAGGCTAATATTGGTTTGTCTTTGTAATCAGGAAGAGACACCAATGTGCTGGTCTATGTGAAGAGGAGACTAGCTATGTGTGCCAGGAAACTTGGAAGAATAAGAGAAGCAGTAAAAATGATGAGAGATGTAAGTAAAAGGGGGAAAAAAACCTGAGCAACTGTTGTTTTCAGTCACATTGTCCAAACTGATGGGTTTAAGTTCCTTTCTAGGCATCATAATTAATTAACTGAAGTATTTTCCAGTGAGACTTGCACATCATGACTGGATGTGGCTTGGAGCAACTTGCTCTAGTGGAAGGTGTCCCTGCCCATGGCAGGGTTGGAACTGGATGAGCTTTAAGGTCCCTTCCAACCCAAACCATTCCAGGATTCTATGAATCGAAGCAATTCTTCTCATGCTTCTTCCCTGCCAATTTCTAAGACAGTGAAAGAACAGAACTTTGAAAACTCCTAATTCATTGTGCTGATTTCTTATGACATATTTCAGCGATTCAACTGCAATTCTGTATGTCATTTATTTCTCTTTATTGTTTTGCAGTTGATGAAAGAGTTTCCACTTCTCAGCATGCTGAATATCCATGAAAACCTCCTGGAGGCATTGCTGGAGTTACAGGCTTATGCAGATGTCCAGGCAGTTTTAGCTAAATATGATGGTAAGTGATGGTTGGTGGTGTGTGAGAGGATAAGTGAGGTGGGCAAGGTGTCTAAGGCACCATGATCTCAGGTAGGTGATTCCCTTCATTCCCAGATTCCCTTCATCAGCAACAAGCAGGTGCTTCCTGAGTGCAGGTCAAGTTTTAGTTTGGAATACTGAAAATCAAATTTAGGCAAACTAAATTGGCATACAAATTACTTCTCATGTTCAAAATGACTTCTAATCTGTAAAGAAATCTTTGCTTCCATGCAAGGATTATTTTAATGATTTAATCTCTTCTACATGCCTGGTTATGCCTAAATTCATCAGCCTTTTTCAGCCAGCACATAGCCCTGTAAGTAATTGATGTAAATAAGCTGGAAAAGGTAGTTTTCCTTTCTGTCATACTCCAGGCTTGGCCTTGTGCTTCTGTCACACTGAGGTTGCTTGTCAGTGATTAGCAGCATTCAGACTTCTGCTTGCCAGAGATTAGTGGTGTCCAGGCTTTACTCCATGGCAGTTTCCTTTCACTTTCCATCTCAACTAATACATTTCAGGTGTTGTGCAACTTTAGAGAAAGGTTAATACAATAGATACTTACTCTTTATTGCCCTCAGAGTTTTGCCACCTAGGTAGTGCCCACGTGATGAGTGTACAAAGTGTTGCTGCACCTTCAGAATGAAAGGACAGAGAGAGTATTTTATGACAGTCATTCCTAGAAGTTGTTGTGTTCTCTTTTGTGTCTGTTCTTTATTGCTTCAGGGAATCAAAAGTAGGATATTTTTGCCCAATTCCTGTGCGTGGCCAATGTTTCACTCTCCTCCTGTTCCTTGTCCATCCACGTTCTCTGTGGATTCTTAATAATTTATCAAAACCATTTGCACTTTCCCTGGTGCTTCTTTGTGTTACCATCAGGAATTGTGACACTGTCTTAAGGAAGGGTGGCTGATTTTTGTATTTTTTAATTTTTATTTCTAAGCATCTGGAAAACTGTGTCTGTGCTTCAAACTCTCTGCAGCACCTCTGTGTTTTGCTTGACACGACAGCCAGACTTGTAGTAAGTGATGGACAAGCCCAGGATGGGATTTACAAAAAAAGCAAGAGCCATCTGACTATACACAACATGGTCCTTGGGAATTAGACCCCAGACTTTGTCTGCTTTTAAAGTAAACTTGTACTGTGGAGTGCTAACCTTCTAATCTGTAATTGTCAGTTCAAACTTGGCTTCAGATATTCTACAAAGCTACAACTAATAGAATTTTTCCTCATGGAACTGGAAACAAATGGAAACAGCATAGTTTTTTTTTGTGTTGAATTTTGTCTACCTGTCTGTAATGTAATTTATTTTTTTGGTCAGGTTCTAGTCAGTCTCTGAGTGTTGTGTAAAACTCTGTGTTAATGTACAGTTGCAACATTAGGTAAAGATTAGAAGCATTTTTTTAAACCTATACAGGAAATACACATTGTGCTTAAATGTGTATTTTTATCTGCATTTCTCTTGGAGTTCAGTTTCAGTGTCTTGGTATGTTTAGAAGAAAAAAATGACCCTTTCCCACCTAAATACAACTCTGAATTTTTAATCTGAGCCTGACTAGTGACCAGAAAGAAAACTGTGCAAAGAAACTCAAAAGTTTCTAATCATAGCTGAAATGTTCCAGATGTTCCATTCATTGTCTCCTGTACCCAAGTAAAAATCTTTAAGCTCAAAGGATGTGGGTTTAAAATGTTTGTCTTGCCTTAGAGTCTTACAGCTTAACTGATTTGTTTTATCCTAGATATCAGTCTTCCAAAATCAGCAGCAATATGTTACACAGCAGCCCTGCTAAAAGCCAGAGCTGTTTCAGAAAGGTAAGCAAACACATGTGTGAAAACAGTGGTTTGTTGCTGATCTTGGGTTATGCTGTAAGATAGGAATGAAAAAGCTCGAAATTTTTTATGTTTTCAAGTTACTTCTAGTCTGTAAAGAAATCTTTGCTTCAATCCAAGGTTTATTTCAATTTTTTCATCTCTTTACATCCCTGCTGATGCCTAAATATGCAGCAATTACATTTCTAAGAGCAAGGGACTCGAGCACAAGTGCCATGAGGAGAGGCTGAGGGAGCTGGGGGTGTTCAGCCTGGAGAAGAGGAGGCTCAGGGGAGACCTTCTCACCCTCTGCAACTCCCTGACAGGAGGTTGGAGTCAGGTGGGGGTTGGTCTCTTCTCCCAGGCAACCAGCAGCAGGACAAGAGGGCACAGACTTAAACTCTGCCAGGGGTTGGATATTGAGAAGAGATTTTTTCTGGAGAGAGTGCTGAGGCATTGGAATGTGCTGCCCAGGGAGGTGGTGGATTCACCATCCCTGGAGGTTTTCAAGCTGAGACTGGATGTGGCACTTAGTGCCATGGTCTAGTGACCACAGTAGGGTTGGACTGGATGATCTTGGAGGTCTTTTCCAACCCAGTTCATTCTGTGATTCTATTTATATATACATATACACATGTGTGTAATTAAATATGATTTCAAGTTTCTTTTAAGCATCCATGACATCAATACAGGTGAAGAGGTTTATCCAAAGCCAATATATAGACCAAGTGCTCTTATGTAAATCTGTTTTCAGTGTTCTGATGTGATTTTTTTTCACTGATGCTTTGCTTTGTGGGGTGGGTGCAGGATATTTGTGGCAGTTGATGCTGGAATTTCCCTCTGTGCACAGAGTTCCACTTCACCTCCCAGCAGGTGATGCTCTAACAGTGAGGTGAAAGTCTGGGCACTCACCTGATAGGATTGACATGGAGTTTCAAACATACCTGTGTCATGGATAACAGTCAAAGTACCTAAATTAGCAGTAACATTTTTCTCCCAGACGGGTTTGTTTTATCTCTCTTGATAAATCAGCCAAATTTTTCACCATCTCCAAGCTCACAGTGCAAATAAACACCTGGTTAGCATTTATTATTTATTACTTTTGTTCAATGTGGGTTTTTCCCTTCAGGTTCTCCCCAGAAACTGCTTCCAAAAGAGGCCTTAGTACAGCAGAAATTAATGCTGTGGAAGCAATTCACAGAGCTGTGGAATTTAACCCTCATGTTCCAAAGGTAAGAGTATTTTATTCCCTTTTGGACCACTTTTACTGTACTCTGAAAAGTGTCATGTTGTAATATAATTCTGTTATTGGTGTTTTTCTAGCCCCTTGTTTCCTTGAAGTTGCTTGTAACTCCACCACAGAGTTGTTAAACACATTAGTATTTATATCATAAATGTTTGGTGGCCAAAATTAGGGTTTTTTTAATAATAGTTGATGTTCAAACAGGGTTTTTCTTGTATAAAAATTTAAAGTCAGAATTTCCTAACTGCTTGGAAAATCCAGTGAGGTGTTCCTGAAGGCCCTTTACTCTGAGAGTAGGCAGTAATAAATATAAATGTAGATATTTAAAGTCATAGAATCACAGAGTGGGTTGTGTTGGAAGGAACCTTAAAGACCATCTCATTCCAACCCCTGCTTCAAGTCCCTGAAGCCAAATTAACTTCTAAAAACAATAACCACTCATAGGACTTCAAAATACTTTTTTCTGCTGTGCTCCATGGATTATGGCTCCATGGTTATTGGATCTACACTCACTTATTTCCTCCATCCACGTGTAAACAAGATGAAGAGTTTCTGTCACTTCAGGCTGTAATTTTGTAAACGATGAAGAGTTTCTATCACTTCAGGCTGTGATTTTGGGTCTGCTATTAGCTCTAGTGGTCAAAACACAGATTCCACGGAGCATTGGGTGAAAATAAACCCTGAACATTGCTTTTAACTGGCCTGGTGTTGGTGCTGCTTGCAGTTTGAAGCCTTGAATGCAGAAGGTTGGCTTAGTGCTGGACCTAATCCTCTGCAAATGATGCTGGAGTCCCAGTGGCTGGGGCTGTGCTGGCTGGACTGATCTGGCTGCTCCCTTCTGTCTGCCTGTCCAATCCAATAGAATGTGCACTGAGAATGCTAATTGCTGGGAGAAATTGCTGCTTGTTTGCATGACTGATCAAGAGCGTAGCAAGTTCATTTCAGACAGTCTCAGACAGATTTTTGCTTTAGCCTCTGCCTTTAGGGGCAGAAGATTATAACGCATTATCATTATCTAAAAGTTCTTTTATTTGGGGTGTCCTCTAGTTGTTTCAGGAGCCTCATATACCTTTTTAAGGGAGTTAGAGATCATTTCAAACAGGCTGTTAGCAAAATAGGCTCTGTAGTTCTGCAGACAAATGCAGAAACTGATTCCAGGTTTCAGTAATTTGATCTTCACTTCCAACTCTGAAGTTAGAAGTGAAGATCTAACGATTAGAACTAAATCTTCTCTTCCAATTGTGTATCTCTCCAGTCTTCATGATTTTCTTAATTACAATATTACCTTGAAACACCAATTTATTAGTTGGCAGAGCAGAGTTTTATTGGTGCATTATTGGTTCATTATTAAGCTATGTATAACTCCTAGTCAAAGTGAACCAAGGGCACAGCCAAGTGAATGGGCCACAGTGGACTAGTGGGGAAGAAAATCTCTTGATTTCTGATTTTGCACTCTGTTCTGTCCCATGGGCTAAAAATCAGTGAGTGTGTAAAGTAGAAATCTCTTTGTTCTCACATCTGGTTGTCTTTGCACATCACATCGTTTTGCATAAGGCAAATAAAATAAGATTTGTTGCTTTTTGCTCCCAGTGCTGCTTTGACAAGGCTGAGGTTTGTTTGGAAAGTTAGGGAGGCATTTTACAGGGCTAGAAAACTTGGTTCTCTTAAGCCATTTTGAATTAGAGATCTGTAACTGTGTTTTGGTCCTGTATGACACAATCATTACCAATCATCTGAATAGCTACCAGATTTTATTGTGTGTAAAGGCTTCCTTAAATCTGCAAAGCCTGAGGTACTCTCAGTACTGACACCTTACCTGTTTCATGCTTAAACACAGACATGCAAACCTGCCAGAGTGTGGAATTTTTTTGTTTGTGTGCTAAGATGGGCTGAGAGAGAGCCAAATGCTGGAGCTGAGCACTGGTGTGTTGTGGCAATACTTGCAGTGAGGCTTCAGCACCAGTGCTGAGGTTGTGTTCCCAGTTAGCACAATGTGGGCACTGCAGAGAGCATGAGGAGTCAGGTCAGGGGTCAGATATTTGAGACCATTTTCCCACAGCAGCACTGTGTGAGTGATCCTTCACTGTGTTAAAAGAAAAAAAAAATTAAAAAAGAAAAAAATTGAAGAGGATTAGAGAGGATTAGCAAGAATATTACCCTCCAGAGTGCAGGCCCAAGGCACTAAGAGAAGAACCTAGCCAGGCAGTAAATGTGCTTTATTTGGCTGGGGCACAACCCCTCCTACATTCCTTGAAGAATCTGAATGGGAAAAGTTAAGTCCTCAAACTGGATTAGTAAATAATCTCATAGTTTGTGGCATCTGCTGAAATAAATCAGTGAGTTAGCTGCATTCTTACACTTTGGGGGACACTCAAAGGAATTGCCAGCTACATTGATCAAAGATGTGGATTAACTTTGGCTCTTATTGAATGAGACACTGTGTGGTAGGAGAGGACAACTCAGGTAAATACTAGAGCTGAAAATGTCATTTCATTCTTGTAAAAGTGACTCATCTGTTTTAAAAGCTTAGGTTCAAATGAATACCTGTCTCTTTTTTTTTTTTTTAATGCACTATAAGAAAACAAAATTGCTTGTTCTGTGTTGCAAAGGAAATGGGGAATGGTTAATCTTTGTGTTCTTTGACCCACTATAAGAAAACAAAATTGCATGTTCTGTGTTGCAAAGGAAATGGGAAATGGTTAATCTTTGTGTTCTTTGACCCTTCTGAGCATCACATATTCTGTTGCTGGAGGGAGAGGACTGAAATTGAAAAAAATCTGCAATCAGAGACACTTTGTGGTAGCCCAATAAAACCACATTAAAAGAAGATTTTTCCTAGCTTTGGTTTATTATTCTTCCTTTGGTTAGCACACTGACACTTTGGGGTTTGCTGCAATTCTTTAGAGCCAACACATCCTGAACCTCCTGCATAGAAACTTCCAGTGATGAAATGATGAGCAAAAATATCACTGGTTTGAGGTTTTTTTATCAACCTAAATTTGTCACTCATTGCTATTGCACCTGCACCATTATAGTTGGCTGTTCCACCAGAATGGATTTTGGTTTGCTTCACTGAAGATGTATTTCTTCTTGACTTTTTTTGTGTGAAAGCCCCAGTTGAACAGGTGTGTTGCTGCTTTTCACTTCCCACATGAGTGCAGGTGGTTGATCTGTGTCAGGGTTGGGCTGTTTGCTCAACAAGTAGAAGCTGATCCCTCTGTGATAAGCTCAGTTATACCTCAACCAACCATTTATGTCTCACAATTAAAGGCTTTGGGATATTCCCTATAACCAAGTGTGCTTTCCCTTTTTCCTTGCAGTATTTACTAGAGATGAAGAGCTTAGTGCTGCCCCCAGAGCACATTCTGAAGCGAGGGGACAGCGAGGCAGTAGCCTATGCCTTTTTTCACCTCCAGCACTGGAAGAGGATAGAAGGGGCTCTAAATCTGCTGCACTGCACATGGGAAGGCAGTAAGTATCTCTCCTTTTATTTTTCTCTGTCCAGTGGACTAATCTCTGTGCCTTTATTCCCCTCCAACACCATTGGCTCTCTTTGTGAGGAGCTGGTTGCCTGGTTAGATACAGATCTCATGTCACTCACTCTCTTTGCAGCATTTAGGATGATCCCATACCCATTAGAGAAAGGTCATCTGTTCTATCCCTACCCAAGCTGCACAGAGACAGCAGACAGAGAACTCTTGCCAAGTAAGTGGTTTCTAAGCAGTAATGATAATAAAACACAAGCTAAGGACATGTTCAGTTTGTGGTATTCTGTATTTACCTTACTGTGATTTTTTTTGTAGTTTGAGCTTCCTGTGAAGGGGATTCAGCTATTTGTTGATGTCCCTCCCAAAAGATCCTGAAGCACTTGACATGTGTGTGGGGTAAATGTCAGCTTGCTGCTGTAATAGCTTAAGTCCTTCAAAGAAAAAAATCTGTGTGGTACATCCAGACTGAGTTTGGCGAAAAATCTGTGTGTGGTACATCCAGACTGAGTTTGGCCAACAAATTGGGGCAGTTCTCTAAATTACTTCTTCTAAAAGAAGTCATGGGTTTGCTGTTGTAGAAAAGCTTCTTCTGCAAGGAATTGTTCCAGTCCTGATTTGGGTATCCAGCAGAAACCATCTGGGCTCTTAGAGAATCCTTGGTTAACCTGTAGCTTCATTTAACAGGTATTGCTTCCTGCCATGAATCATTGGTCCATATTTGCTGGATGCCTCCTGGAACTTTTCATCCATCTGTTTCTATGGATTCATATTAACATTTGACACTGAAAAGTAAAAGTCTTCTCCAGCTGCTCATTGCTTCAAGGTTGCTTTATGCAATTAAGAGTCTACATGGTTTTTAAGTAAGACAAGTAAACTAAATCCCTCCAACCTGTGCTCGTCATACTTAAGAAAATAGCATTAATTTAGATTAGAATTGGACTGTGAATTGTACATGTAAATAGAATTCCTTTGGGGCTGATCTTCTCCATTGGGAAGAAACACAAGTCCCCTGGGACTGGAAAAAGCTACTGCAAAAAGTCCCAACAGAGCCACAGAGACCACAGCTGTGGAAAGGAAAAGTGCATAGAAGTGTTTCTATTTAAAAGCCTGAAGTTCTATTTAAAATGTGTAATTTAAATTTGCCCCCAGACTGCTTTAAATTACTCATTTCTCACTTATGCAGGATATTGCACAAGGAATTCCTTGGTTAGCAACTTACCCCTAAATTGTAGACTTCCCAGCATAATGAAACACCAACACATGCAGATATTTCAACACGATCACTCACGCATTCCTGTGAGGTTTTAAATATAAAACTACCCATAAATAAAATCATCTTAACACTTTTATTGCACTGCTTCCTCGAGAAATCTGGACAATTCTTTTTCTTTTCAAAAGTTATCTATTAAAAGTAATCTTGACCAAATCACTGATTGAAAAATCCTGGATTGGTCTGATGAGTTACAACTCTCAAATGGCTGTGAAGGTATAGAATTATCTTTAGTTGTCCTTACCTATTTTGGATTTAGTTATAGTTTCCCAGTGTAGGAAAAACTTGTGAAAAAAAATTATTCCTCTATTTTAAAATCCTTTATATTGTTCTTTATATCTTATCCATATTATACCTTATATACTCTACTTTATATTCAACTTTATATTCTACTTCACATACTTTTATGTTGAGACGTTTCCTAAATGATATTGCTCCATGTTTTAGAAAGCAGGTGAGTTTCTCCATAGCTTGAAGCTCTGGGAAACATTAACATCTCTGGTGTTAGACATGAAACTTCAAACATTCTCCTTACTTGTGCTCCAGAATCATAGTCTTAAAAGCAAAAACAAACCCCAAGAAATTTGCCACTGCTGAGCTGCAAGAGCGGAAGTCACTTGTGCTGGGATTGCTCTTCTAATGGTGTTTCCATGTGCCAACATTCAGAAGAATTCACTTGTGCTGGGATTGCTCTTCTGATGGTGTTTCCATGTGCCAACATTCAGACCCAGAAACTAGGAGGGCAAAGTGGCTTTGTCCTCCTCAAACTTCAGGTTAAAAAAGAATACAATTCCATTTCTTTGACAAAAAAAAGGCTTAAAATTTGAGGCTTTTATTAGATTTTGAAAACAACTTGGCAAGGATTGTGCAGCCCTTTCATAATTATGTCTATAGAAACTTTTTTCTTTATTTAAAGACCTTTTCATATCACTGGCCACAAGTCAGAGGTGCAGGTATGCAGAGCCAGTAAGTAATTGCAAATTCACCAAGCAGGTCCTCAGCTAGTGACCACTAGTAGTGTTGTGAGTGCTGAAAGCTCCACATGCCAACCCCTCAGCCTGGCTAATCACCTGCTTTGGATTTTGTTACCACAGATTGGAAATTGCAAGGAGCTGCTATGTACAGAATTTATAACCCAGTCCTGGTGCTGTTTTCTTTGAGCTCTGCTCTGTCAGCTGCTCTGCACAAATTTACTGTAGTCTACAACCAGGAATCTTTGAAAAGGATGGAGGAGCTACCTTGGATGTGTATAGAACGTGGTGGGTTTGTGTTTGCTCAGCTTCTGATGTTCTTCAGGGAACAGGATTGATGCCCCAGAGGGTTGGAAACACCTGGATTGTTTGTAATTCCTACAGTTTGTGAATTGCATAGTTCTTCCCTCTGTCCTGTTAGAAGAGTAGGGACCAAAAGCTGAGCCTGATGAAATGCTTCAAAAATTAAGCCTCTACAAGTCAAGAAGAAGATTGGAAAGAGAAAGATAGAATAGCTGTTAATAATGAGGACAAATTCATGATAACTGTTAACAATGAAGACAAACATTTCATGTAGGGAAGGATTTTTGAGAATTTTAAGTATTGGGACCTAACATGCTGCACAGTAGTCTGGAATCCACATTTCTTCCTTCTGAAACTCCAGAACTGAGTGACAGGACTGTGTAAATCATTCAGAGAACTGTCCTTGATTATTAAATGTTAATATTCTTTTTTCTTTTTCTTTTTTTTTTTATCTTTCAGCATTTCACGAAGTCTCTGTTTACCCCCAGAAGGAGCTTCCTTTTTTCATCCACTTCACAGCAGGGCTGTGCTCCTTTTCAGCCATGCTGGCCCTCCTCACCCACCAGTTCCCTGAGCTGATGGTTGTTTTTGCTAAAGCTGTAAGTACTGTCTCTGTCATGGGGTAACTTGAGGAGCTTTGGGGAGTTTTGAGGTCTGGGGTGAAGTAGCCTCTAGTCAGTCTCATCCTTAGGGAGCATCAACTACTTTATCTGCTTTTATAGCATGACAAACGTGTTGAAATTTGGGCAGAATGTCTATTTTTACAAGAAGATGAACTGTTATTTCACTCTTATGGTGAGAGAACAGTGTTTCAGCACCAGAGACCTTTTGCCACAGAGCACTGTGTCGAGTATGGATTTTATTCTTACAGAAGACAGCAGTGGGAGAGCCTCAGAAATGAAGTTGTTGACTGGAGGGTTTGAGAAGTGAGTAAAAGGCAGGCTGGATGCAGGAAAAACAGGTCTCTTGGGAGCATTGGAAACTGGTAGCATGATGCGAATGGAATGATGAGAACAGGGAAAGTAACTGCTAACTTCAAACCAGGTTCAGAAGTGAGTTCAGCTGTCATTTACCTTTCAGGAGCTAGACCAGTGAGTTTATAGCTCATCTGGTTTCAGTTACTAGATGGAGAATGTGTTCAGTGACCACAGTTCTGTCATTTGAGTACCTGTTCAAGGATAGAAATTGAACTTGATGATGGCAATAATCTGTGATGCTTTAAGTGTATCTGAAATATGTCTCTTGTTGAGCTGTGTGTTCCTGTGGGGCCTCCTGTGCCTGTCTCCTTTCTCCTTCTCCCTGCCCTGCTCCTTTTAGGGTTTCTTTCCTTACTTATCTGTTCACATGTGCTGGCTGTAACCTTGTCATCTTTCCCTGAACTCTGGAAGCTGAGGAACAAACTGCATAGCTTCAACTCCTCTAACTGTTCCACACAGTAGGTTTGGCTGATCCCACTGAACTGTGGATCTACTGCAGTAGAGCAGAATGGCAAATAAAGAGCTCTGAACTATGAGTGAATCATTTATTCTAGCTTTGCTAGTCAAAATAGAGGGTGAAAGGTATTCTACTTCCTTGCTGGTTTAATGCAGCAGGTAATGGAGAGCCAGGAGAAAAGCCCTTTATTTTAAGAGTACTTTGCTCCTAAAAGCATTGGCTTTGCCAGTGAGCCCAGTGCAGTGTCCAAGTCATGCAGGTCTGAGTGTGGGGCCTCATTTCCACCCAGTTCTGTTGATCTTTATGTTGGAAAATGTAGTTGGACATGCCAGTGACAAATTTCAGTGCTGCTTATAATTGGCTGGGTTCAGAGTAACTAGGGGCTAACTATCTGCTTGATTAATTCTGTAAGGGCTGCATTAGCAAAGTTGTATGATTTCCAAAGAGATACAAGGTCAAATGTTATGCTAACAAAGAATTGCTTGGTGAAGTTCTCTCTGCTGGGTTTCTTGAACCAAGAAAAAAAAAAGAGACTTTGTACGAGTCAGTTGGCTTTGCATAATGACATTTTGGATGTCAAGTGACATGTCCAAGTATGGGGGGGAAAAAAACTCCCAGGGTTTGGTCATTTGGTAGTGTGTTTATTTTGTTTGTTTTCTATAGGAAAGGATGGAGAGTGTCTGTCTCAGTGTGCAGCTGAAAAGATGATCAAGAAGCATGTGCATTGCCACATCATTCCCCCAGCCCAGTCCCCGTGGTGGCAGCACAGACAAAGGGGTTCTTGCCACTCCCTGTGCTAATTTCATACTTGCAAAAGTAGAAATTATGTCTTCAGATAAACAGGCAAGAGGTGAATTCCGTGTTAGTCTCTTGAATTGAGAGCTGAGAAGGAAATACCAACTTCCAGCGTTCTGCTATTTGAGCTGGAATTAATGTTAACTCCTAATCATACTCTAATGACTAAAAATTCTTCCTTGTTTTAGTTACTGAATGATTGTACTGTGGATCCCATTCCTGATGTTCTCAGAAAACTTGTAAGGAACAATGATATTCAACACCAAATCAACACTTCTGGTTTTGCTGCCCACAGGGCAATCAAAGACAAAAGAGGGTTTGGAACTAGATGATTTTTAAGGTCTCTTCCAACCCAAACCATTCTGTGATTCCATGATTCAGTTAATAGATTGCATCAATATTTGAATTACAGATAATGCTGTGATGGCTGTTGGCACTTTATGCATTCTCTGTTGTGTTCTGGGGGCTGTAGCAGTAGCATCTAGTTAAATTTTCATACCAGGTATAGAGCATGAACTTCTATTTAATGCCACCACTATCTCCACCCAGAGTGTAACAGAGCAGTTCTTTGCTGTATCTAGTGTTATATCTGCAAGTAATTCCAGTGCTTTAAGCTTTCTTGATGATTTTTTTCCTATGAATTTCATTACTTCAAGTATTTCTCATCTTAGAATCAAAGAATCAACCTGGTTGGAAAAGACCTCCAAGATCATCCAGTCCAACCCTACTGTGGTCACTAGCCCATGGCACTAAGTGCCACATCCAGTCTCAGCTTGAAAACCTCCAGGGATGGTGAATCCACCACCTCCCTGGGCAGCACATGCCAATGCCTGAGCACTCTCTCCAGAAAAAATCTCTTCCTAATCTCCAATCTCAACCTCCCCTGGCAGAGCTTGAGTCTGTGCCCTCTTGTCCTGCTGCTGGTTGCCTGGGAGAAGAGACCAACCCCCACCTGACTCCAACCTCCTGTCAGGGAGTTGCAGAGGGTGAGAAGGTCTCCCCTGAGCCTCCTCTTCTCCAGGCTGAACACCCCCAGCTCCCTCAACCTCTCCTCATGGCACTTGTGCTCCAGTCCCTTCACCAGCCTCGTTGCTCTTCTCTGGACCTGCTCCAGCCCCTCAATGTCCCTCCTGAACTGAGGGCCCCATCATCTTACTGTGTTTTAACTTATCAAATATGGTAATTTGAGCTGATAAAGATCTAGATGGTATATCTGGAGTGCTTTGGCCTTAGGGGAGAAAAAAAAGTGATATAAAATGTATTTCCTACAAGTTGAATTTCCAGCAAACCTAGAACACAATTTTCGGAATGGCAATTGGAAAGTATCACGTATACGGAATTTTTGCACTGTAAATCTCTAAGCTATAACTCCTTAGATTCCATTTCAGTTGCTTCTTAATCCAACTGTTTTCTTCAGCAGTTGAATCCCCAGCGAGCTGCTTTGCCTCGAAAGGGTTTGAAGAACTCGAATACCTTTCCATTGACTTGAAAAGTCTGAGTTTACATATTTTCATTTGTTAGTGCTTGAGTTTGTTTCCTCCATAATAAATCACAGGGTAAACCTTGGCAAATTGCTAAAAATATTCCAAGTGGCCAAAAATCACAACGAAGCATTTAGTAGTTCCAATGTATACAGCAGTGATACAGCATCAGCAGAGACTGGAGCACTGGCACTGGCTGTGGGTTGCTCCCTCTGGAGAGGGAAGTGCTCCTGCCCCTGTGTTCCCAGCTCTGGGAAGTGGCATCACAAGGATTTTTTGGTGTATCTTGCACACCAAGGACGAGTTAGCAAGTGCTGGCAGAATGTTTAGCATTTATTGGTTCACTTAGAGCCCGTGGAGATGCCCAGAGAGGTTGTGGACTCCCCATGGAATGTTAAGGGGTTGGGATGGAGCTTAGAGATCATCCAGTCCCCACCCTCTGCCCTGGGCAGGGATATGTCCCACCAGAGCAGGTTCTTCAAGGCTTTTTCCACCCTGGCTTTGAACTCTGCCAGGGTTGGGGCAGCCACAGCCTCCCTGGGCAACCTGGGACAGTGTCTCACCATCCTCACAGGAAAAAACTTCTTTCTGATACCTAATCTGTATTCTAAATTTCCCTCTTTCAATTTATTCCCATTACTCCTTGTACTGTGACTACAGTTCCTGAAATTCCAGTTCCCTGCAAGTATTCAAGGCCAGGCTGGATAGAGCTCTGAGCAACCTGGTCTAAGTGGAAGGTGTCTCTGTCCATGGCAGGAGGTTGGAATGAGATGAGCTTTAAGGTCCATTCCAACCCAAACCATTCCATGATTCAATGAAGATATGTTAGGTGTTTTCAGGACCTTCTGAGCAGATTGTTTGCAGTGCTTCCTGTCACTCTGCATCACTAGTGCTATCGAAGTCAGACTTCTTGGTGTCTTTATAAGATACTACAGAAGGAATTGTCTTTAAGGTTAAAGTTCATTTCATTCCACCCCCTGCCATGGGCAGGGACAACTTCCACGGGCAGGGACACCTTCTACTAGCCCAGGTTGCTCCAAGCCTTGTCCAACCTGGCCTTGAACATTTCCAGGGATGGAGCAGCCACAGCTTCTCCAAAGAATTCCAAGAAGATAATCCCATTTTTAAGTCTGAACTTTATGCTACTGGAATAGACCAGTAGTAGTTAACTTTAGAATATTGAAAAAATAGTGCAGCAATGTTCCAAAAAAAACCTGCTGAAAATCCTTGTTCAGGGAATTGGACAAAATCCTAAGACAGTCCGTGTTCCAGAGTGGTTTGATATGGATCACTTGATATTTTCACAACAAAGAAAGAAGTCATGGGACTTAAATGAAAAATTGGCTAATTTTTCTGATTGCAAGATTAGGAGAGAACATTTCCCATTCCGGATGTTCCCTAGCTCCTTGTTAGAGGATTCCATGCCATTTTGCCCGGAATTGGACAAAATCCTAAGACAGTCCGTGTTCCAGAGTGGTTTGATATGGATCACTTGATATTTTCACAACAAAGAAAGAAGTCATGGGACTTAAATGAAAAATTGGCTAATTTTTCTGATTGCAAGATTAGGAGAGAACATTTCCCATTCCGGATGTTCCCTAGCTCCTTGTTAGAGGATTCCATGCCATTTTGCCCATAGCAGCCATCTAGGGACAGAAACTAGGACAAAGCAAAGCCCTGTCTGGCAAGTCCTGCTTTCTGTGACACTCTGCTTTACTTTCTGAACAAATCCCTCTACCACTTTCCCCAAAGCTCATTAAGTGAGACTGGAGAATTAACTTTTTCGCCAGCTGCTGAACTTTTCATATTTATAAACACTTGAGTCTTTTGCTTATCTAAGAGAAAATGTGTATAGTTTGGAGATGTGCACTTCCCTGCCAATGTGTAATGAGTGGTTCTACACTTGATAGAGGAAAAAAAAAGCCTGAAGTTTCCTGTCAGAGCTGAGTGTCGATGCCAAGGGCAAAGGTTTCTTGCCTTACTAATCTACATCTTAACTCATGCACTTAATGTGAAGGTGCCACACGCAAACAGGCAGGGAAGAAGCTGGCTGCAAGGAAAAGCTCCTGCTCTGCTGTGAATGTTATGTTTTAAAAGCCTTTTTAATGTAATATTGGAGGTTATGATAGAAGCCAGGAGGGCCAAAGTAAAACCTTCAAAGTAAATGAGTCCTGTCACTGCTGCCTCGGGAAACGAGGGTTTGTGTGAGGATAACCTGAGTGCCAGTGAAGCACTTGGGGGATGGGTTGAGAAGGTGCAGGGGAGTTTGCACCATTTGTTTTAGCCTAATCTTTATTTCTGGAACTGTTTAGATGGCACCTAGACTATGGATCGTGTCTGGAAGCATGGGCTGGTGTTGGTGGATGGGCTGTTCAGTTTGCACGTGATTGAGTCATAGAATTATAGAATCAACCAGGTTGGAAAAGACCTCCAAGATCATCCAGTCCAACCCTACTGTGGTCACTAGATCATGGCATTAAGTGCCACATCCAGTCTCAGCTTGAAAACCTC